TTGTTGCCAAATAAATTCGACAATTTCACATCTTTGATTAATTTTTATATAACTAACTATCATTATTAGAAGCCTAATATCATTTCTATAAACAAATTATACAAATTCAAAATATTTTATAATGAAAAGTTTAATATTTTTTACCAAATAAAATAAAATAAATCTATATCTTTGATTTTTTATTATAAAAAATTGTTAAAGCATGATATCATTGCCAAATAATTTAGATAGTTTTATAATAATGATTTTTTTAATATCAATAATATGCTTTAGTTTAATATTATTATTAAGTAAAAAAATAAAATATATAATATTTATTACTAAAAAAATGATTTTATGTAAAATCTTGACATTATTGCAAAAACTTTATATCTTAAACTACCTTTTATTGAATCAAGTGCTCAAGCTTGACATCATTGCCAAAAAAATTAATTTAAAAGTATTTGAAATAGAGATTTTTTAGATGCATAATATGTATATATATATATATATATATATATATATATATATATATATATATATATATCTTTATTTTTTATATATTAATTTAATTAAAAATATAAAAAGAATTATAATAATATTCTATTATTTTTTAAAAATATATTCTATAAAAATTAATGTTTTATATAGTAATTCAATGTTTCAATTACTAGACAATAATATAAGTAATAAGTTGGAAACCATCCAACGTTCTTGTATTTAAATTTATTATTTTTTAATAAAAATTTAATCAATTTAAAAAAAATCTTATAATTAATGGTTTTACCAAAAAGACAAAGTTTAAATAAGGAGTGATTGAAGACTAGTATATTATACAAATTTGGTATTTATTTTGAAGAAAAATGAAAAAAATTGATAAAATGTAAGATCAATTTAATCTATAAAAAATTAAAAAATTAGAATAAAAAAAAATTTAAAAAATAATTGTATTTGATGTACATTTCAACTAATTACTAGGAACATACTTTAGGATTTATACTAGTTACAGCACAATTCATTGTTTGGAAAAAAAAACTAATATTTGAGATTTAAAATTTTGGATTTTAAAATTAAAATTTAAAATTTTTAAGATTTTGGATTTTAAGTCTTAAGGATGTCTAAGGATATTTTAAGTCCTTTATTTTTTGGATTTTGAGATGATTTTTCTCTCTATTTTGGATGTCTATAATTTTTGGGGTGAAATCAAAAGTTCCTATAATTTTTTCATTATTAGATATTGAAAGATTATGCTAGCTTAGGATTATATAAATGTACCAAACTTTTTGACATGCTTATTTTCCACTTTGGACTTAATATGCCTCCTTGTTTTTGAAGTCTAGGATTCCAATGGTATAAATAACTTGCTCTACAAGTATTTAGTTTGTAAGATATATTCTTTTAAACTTAAACTTTAGGATTTTGATTTTTGATATGCTAATTTTATTTGAAGTTTTGAGTAAATCTTAGTCTAGATTTTATAATTATTAAATCTAAATATATATTTAAAATATTCTAAAATTTTATATATTTATAAATAATAATTGTTTATCCATTTTAATTTTCAAGTTGACTTGATTAATAATTAGACTTTTATAGATTTTATTTGATCTATTTCTTTAAATTTTAGGGCCTATAAATCTAAAAATGAATTAAAAATGACCTAAAATTTTTTTAATTCTTTAATATAGAGACTTTAACTTGATTTTTATTCGTTGATTTTTTTCCATTACTTTTTAGAATTTAGAATTGATCTATTTCTCTATTTTAGATGATTTTGATTCTTTTGATATATTTAAAATCTTTAGAAAGTATTTAAATCAAAAAATGTAAGGCTTTTAAAATTATAAAATAATCATTTTTGTAATTTTTAAGAAGAAGAAAAAAAATTAAAATGAACTTAAATTTATTTATACTAAAAGTATCAAATAGGTAGTTTAAATAAGAATATGTTAATATTGTAGTTGATAAAAAACATGTTTATACTAAATTTTCTCTTTATTATAAAATAATATGATTCAAAAGTATAAAACTTATATTCTAAGCCTATGGAATAGATTATATATAATTAAACCAATTTGTACCATATATTCCTATAAAATAGGAAGCTTCTCCAATACAATATTTATATACTCTATCTTTCTTCCAATAACTACTACGACGATTAGTTTTCTTTAACATTAATCTTTTGTATTCCTATCTAACACCATATTTTAAAAAAATCAATGTGCACTATAATAGAAGTAAATAACAATGTGATAATTACTTGGATCATCTTGCTTCCAATCAAAAAAAGAAAATATTTTTTAACATTAATTTTTTTTGATGTGTTGAACTACTTTTTTGTCTCTTGCTCCTTAAAATTGTCGTTTTATATGCTTGATGCTCTACCTTATAATTTATCAAATAAAAGTCAAAGTTAAAAAATTTAAGAATTTAGAGTTTAAGATTTTAAATTTTAACATATAAAATTTTGGATTATATTAGTGTTAAGAGATATTTTGATTTTTTCTTTATTTTAAAGTTACCTATCCTATGTTTTTATGTCTATTATCCTTCAAGTGAAGTAAAAGTATTCTACTAGTTTTTCAATTGAAAGATATAGATAGTTTAATTTTAAATTTTGGATTTTAGATTACATAGATGTGGTTGATTTTTGACATTTTTTTTTGTCGATATTTTCTTTCAACCACTTAATACATAAGAAATAAATAAGATAAATTATTTTTACAACTACAACCTACTAGAATCAAAATCTTCTAAATATATATTTAATCCAAAATTTTCTATATTAATGATAAAAAAAAATAAAATATTCTATAAATGAAAAAATCAACTCTTACGCAATATTGATAATCAAGTGGTTGGCTCTCAAAAATTAATAAAGTTACTCCAAAAAAAACTAAACAAGAAAAGTAGAAAAAAGAAAAATATATTCTATAGCTTAATTAATGAACAAACCTTTGATTTTAAATCTTATTTTTAATCAACAAGAAAAGAATTTATGACTCATTTTTTAAAATGTAGAAATAAGTTATTCTAAATATGTTCCCATTACCTACTTAATGGAAAATAAATAGAGTATTCTAATAGAAAATAGTTGAAATAAGTAAAATAACAACTAATTTAAACTTCACTTTTAAAAAGAGACATTATTCATATACCTTGTATATGTAAAATGTTGGATTGGTCTATATTTTTTTATGTAATTAACATCCAACCTTTAGAAATAGAAACTATCCAAATTCTTTAAATAAAAACAAGTCATTTTTGTTAATAATAGCTATTCTTAGTTTAATTTCTCCTACGAGATTTGATTAATATTAAGAAGACTTTGCTTATGAACTATATAAAATTAAAGAATAAAACATATCTTTGTAAAAGAGGTATAAAATGACCTCTATACTAAAAGTATGATTTAGAAAGGTTTAATAGGATGTGGAGAAATTAATTGAAAATCCATATAGAAGGGACCAAAATAACATCCCAAACATGAGACTACTCTCTTTAAAAAATAGAACATATCATAAATGGAAAACACCTAATAAATATTAGAGTTCATAAGAAAATTAAATGAAAATTTTGAATACCACAATGGTTTAATAATGTATAAAGCTATAAATAAGTGAGAAGTAATAGCAATTACTTCACATAATGCTTTTTAACTTTGACTTTTTGAATATTAAGTATTAAGTTGTCTTTTGTACGATGATCTACTTCATCAATGCATCAAACAATCTTTATTTTGTAACAAAATAAATAAATAAACAATAGTTTTAGATCTCAATATACTCTATAGAAAGACAAAAGAATTGGTAGAAACTTTAGACATTGCCTACTATTATTGTTAGTTTTATAGTAGGATTTTATTTTTAAATACTACAAACTATTCAAATAGTTAATATAGCTCAACAAGCAATTAGAAAGTTATAATGTTAATAGTCATGTTGTAGGAATAAAACTTTAATATTTTTCATAGGATTAAATTAATAAAAATGGATATTATTTTTTAAAATAAAAACTTGAATATATACTAAGAATATTAAGGAGATATTTAGGTCTATAATAGTAAGAAAAAAGAATTTTTTAAAATTAGATTTCATTTGTAATATGTTTATTTCTTTAAGATAATGAGGTTTATGTAAAAAAAATTATAATAGATATGGTTTGTAGATGCAAAATCAATTAGAATGTTTATTCTTAATTCATATTTCAATGTTACTACTTGCTTATTACAATAGAATTAGATATTTTATCAAAAATAAACTTTAATATTAAAGAAGTATTATTCAATGACTTTATTCATATTTTACTTTCAATACAAAATTATATAGATAAACTAATATCTTGTTAAATAATTATATTATAAAGATAGATAAAGTTAGTTTAAAAAATACTTATATGCATCTAGCTAAATATTACTTTCTAGAAATATTCTCAATAATACACTAATTTAAATATGCCAATCTTTGGAAGCAAATAAGAGTCTAAATTAAATTAGTTTTTATGTTAATAATTTATTATTAATGGATTGTAATAAAATTGTGGAGGCACTACATCTTACTAATCATAAATAAAGTACTTTATTGAATACTAGTGAAGAAAATAATCTTTTTAGGTACTAAAAGTACTTTGTAGAAAATTAGCTATTATATTACTAAATAAGCCTTGGACATAGAGAACATATGAATACCTTTAAGAAGCAATAGTACTATTGCAAACAATTTAGAACTAAAAAAATTTAAATTTTAAATTTAATGAAACATACCACATGTTGTAACCTAAGAACTATAGTTGCAAGAAAATAAAATAACATTCAATAACACTATATAGATGGATAAAAAGTAAAATTATTACATGATAATACATGATTGGGTATGACTTTCAAACAATTTTTTTTTTAAAAAGAGATTAAATCTTTAATAATTTTTAAAACTTTGACTTGCCAAGAAATTGTCCAGCAGGCAGAGATATAACAATATTTTATGTTCTTAAGCAAATATGCCAAAGAAAGTGACAAGCTGTTGACATTATTGGACACTACTAATTGCATTGATAGCATAAAATGCTGGCCACAAATGGCCATGAACATATGGTATCCAAATTAGCGGATCAATTACCTGGTGTCAAAGGATATTATTACAGGGAACCTGCAGCTATAAATGCTGTACAAACTAAGGCAACCATTCAAATGAATATTGCGATTATGAGTAGATCAAACGCTCTAACAAGTCGTTGCCGTTGTTAAATCCGATCTTAATAGATTCAAATAAAGTTAAACATGAAGTGAGAGATCCCAAAAATTTCCTTCTAATTCTTTGACTATGTTAAACCTTGACCAGCCAGTTACTATGAACTTCTGCGAGGATGATCACGGATTTGTGACGACTTGATGTAGTCCTCGAGCGGAGTAACTTGTTCCCATTTATTCCATAGAAATCGCAATTCTCCCTGCCACCATCCCAGAAGAAAGCAAGATATCGTATAGAACCCAGAAATTATATGCAAGTTAGAGACTCTGGTTGATATTTCAGTCAGATTTTGATACCAAGTAAAAGAAGATGAGGAGCATGTACAAGGATGGGCACCGTATCTCAGATCCACCAATACAGAATAAGATGACCAGTAGAATAAGAAACCACTGCGACATAAAATAGTACAGCACAAATAAAAAGACGGAAGCCATGACCAAAATTAGGAATGCCGACACAACGTTGATGTCCACAACACTGTTGTTTGCATCGTAATCAGTATCAGAAAGATCAAAGTCTCCTCGCTCCTGCATAACGAAAACTTGTCAACTCCTCAAAGCATATAACTGAAATCCCCAACAGACCTGTTGAAATGGTCAACCTACGAATGGAATTTAAATGAAATAAGAATCCCAATCACAGATAGCTGTAACAGCCCCTGTTTAAAATAAAACGTACAAATCGCCGTACATCAGAAGAGCAAGGATTGATGATTTCCTTGAGGGACTCGTATAAGTTGCTACTAATACATTTTTTATTTTTTTATTTTTATTTTTTCTCATCATATTATGATATGTTTAATCACAAATGCCGTCATAGACTTATACCACTTAAGAGAAAAAACCAATTCCACTAAGACAACACCTGAAAATTGCTCAATAGCTACTAAGCTTCTTCACCAGTGGTTAGCAAAGTTACAAAGTTGTACACAAAGCATAATTACAGCCTGAAAATTCCTCTAAAATTGCTTCTTACTCTCACAAATTGAACTCATTCAAAAGCCTCTGAGAAGCATGAATCAGGACTTGAAACTATGAACAATAGTGGGCATTTTGTGACACGAAGAAGAATACTACTTACACAAATTGAAACGAGACTGATTATCACCATAAAATTATTAGATATGGACGTGATTAAAGTTACATCTAGATATCAAGATGGCGAGAACACAAAAGCGATGTTGGTCTAACAACGAAAATGAACCCTCAAACAAGCAAAATGACTTCAAACAATCTGCGGAGGAGCACAAGTGCTACGATTGCTACTGTTGAGGAAAGGAGTTGCTCATACGACCATGCAAGCCACAAACACCAACAGCAAAATCCATCATGCTGACTATCCAGAGCTTCGAACCTAAGCCATATGACCAGTCAAATACTGAAGAATGGCGATTTCAACCGCAGTTTTGCAAATGATAGCAAGAAAAAAATATTTTCTTCAAATACCTTCTTCATTATTAACAACGACAAGAGCCTTGGCACCAGCTGCCTGTACCGTTCGTGCCATCCTAGTGAAAGTACACTCGCCTCGTCGCACCAAAGCGGCATATCCATTGAGCTGCCAATAATAGAATGGCAAAATATCTGATAAAACTAAGAGTATATTGCGATAGAGAGCAGCATGTTCAAAGGGATGTTTTATATGGAAAAAAAAAAAACGAGTTGCATGATATCAAGATGAGTTGCTAACCGGTATAGAGGACGTCTTGCAGGAGGGAGCAAGCCTTGGAATCGCCAAAGGAATAGAGTCAACCTTGACATTGCGATCGGTGAATATTACACCAAAACGTGCACTTACACCCACTAGTTCGGTAACTTCAAGATTATCTGTCCAAATTCGTATTTTAACATGCGAAGTAAGTGTGGACCTTAAAGAATCAACCATGATGGAATTAAGTTTCAAAATATTTAAAAATAAATAAACTATATGCCACTGGTTCCTTCAGGAATTGAAGATATGTCACAACAACAACAAAAATACCTCTCATTCAATTCAAAGCTGTCTTGCATAACCGAAGCAGCACCAAATAATATTAATTCCATAATTGTGCTTCCAGTAAATAATATTCCACGACGTCAAAAACTCAGATGCACCTTACTTCAACAATTGCTTCGTGCATTCAACACCAAACATGTCTATCGGTTTCAATAAATATTACGCAAGGAAGTCGCTCAAAATACAGGAACACTTCGATCTAGTCTACTGTACGGTGAAACATAGCTGCAGTTCGATATCAACACAATTCTGTCCTCGCAGTCTCCCAATTCTACTCAACGACTCCAAATTCGCAGCGACTTGCCAAACAATCTACAGCACATAATGCAGAGCAGTATGCAAGAATTTCTCAGTTTCCCTCGCAGAACATTTTGTTAATTCATTGCATCATTGAAAATCACCGCGACAAGTATCCATCCAAACCATCTGAATTCCGCTGATTCTAATCACTGCCCACACGATCCACCAATGCGGACCCGCTTCTTTACGCTTTTCAAACCCTACCCCAGTGATGCCACAGTCAAAGAAGCCCGAATTCATCACTGATCCATTCCGAAGCCGCACCTCCACTCCCTCGCGCACAAGCTGCATTTAATCACACCTGACCTGATGCGAAACGTACCAGAACGAAGCTGTTGTCGCAGCCAGGCTGCACAGGCGTATCCACATCATCGTGAGCAATGGAACTATCTCCCCGACACAAATGTGCCGATAAAGCTATTGTTACCAAAACAGTGCAAACGAAACCTCTGCAGCACAGGAAGAGCTGATTCGATGCCATCTCCGTGCCAATTCTCCCCTCGGCCATCGTCCGCTACACTACGCCGGGCTCAATGCCCACAACAGCAGCCATCGCAGCAGAAGCAGCAGACTCAATCGCTGCAAGCTACAATTGGTTGCTGCGAGCTCCAAAACCAAGCTGGTGCACAGCCCCGACTGACGCCTTTCCGTCGGACGATCGTTTCCTTATCGTTCTACATTCCAACAAGCGTAGATTTTCGTCCGTCGAATTTCAACCTGAACTCTCGTTTCTGCTCAGCTCATTGGTTACGCATTTAGCCAAATAGCAGTTTTTTGCGTTTTGTAAATTGACAATATCATTATAGAATTGATGTTGTGTGTATGTTTTTTTTTTTTTTTTTTTTTTTTTCTCCCCCCCCCCTCCCTCTTAAATGCATTCTTAAAGCCTTCATGAGAAAAAGGAATGTTGAGAGTAGCTTTCTTCATTGAATTTCCCCATTCAAGTGGCATAAATTGAAAAAATTTCCATTTTCTTCTTCAGCCTATACAAGGCTTTACTTCCAAAGAATAATGATAAATTTATTCTTCTTCTTCTCTTCTTCTTTCTTTTGCCTCAAACCATGTATTGGTAAATTATTTAATTCAAACTATGGAATTCCAGAAACCACAAGATTTGCCCAATAAAGGTTTTAAAATAATAAATAAATAAATAAATGTTATTCAAGTGGATGTTTAATAAAATTAAGATTGCCATAATTAATCTTCCAACATCAATTTCAATAGTTTAATCCCTTCTAAAAATATTTTTGATATATATAATCGAGTTTCAAATAAAATGGTGGATCTTCTCCACTAGTAGTTGAATATGTTAGATTAAAATATATATATATATATATATATATATATATATATATTATTTAAGAAACACATTAACACTTTTTTGTCAAAAAAATATTAAAATACTGTTAATTTACAAACTCAATATTATGTTATATGTAAAGTAATAGGTAAAAACTTGGAATAAAAGACAACATAAATTTTATTGATAAAGTCGAATATTGTTCAATTTCAAAATCTTCGGTCATTGGATATCTTTGCATTTACTATTATAGTTAGGCCAACAATTCTATCTATTATAACTTGGATTATTATATTACAAATAAATATTCTTATTTAAATATATTCTTTAATCTATTTTTGTATTGAATGTGTTTAATAGAATTGCATCAATTTGCAAAAGTTTAAGAAAAAAATAACAAATTAAGAAAATCTTTAAAGTATTTATCAAATTAACAAGTTAACATATTGTCGTATCATCTTTTCTACCTCAAATAATTTCTTTTAATATTTTTTATATTATAAATTATTACAAAAAATAGTTTGAGTAATAAATTCTACTAAATTATTGTTTCTCACTATTTAAAACTTAAAATATTATCATAATATCTTTTAATTTTAATACTTATTTATTTTAAAATAATGGTCTAATAGTTTTGATTAAACTCTCATACTAATCATTAAAATTGACTAGCATAAATGATACATAATTATAATATTTTTGTGGAATTTTAAATTTTATTTCAACTATTTCTTTTACTACTTATTTCTTGATATAATTATAAATACTTCTATAAAAGTATCTAAATTACATAAAAATAACAAAAATTAACTATTGAAGGTTTTAATTTTAAAAACTGTTTATAGACAAGTATATCTCTATCAATTTTATTTTAGTTATGCCTTTGAGCTTAAAATAAGAAAATATGCTTAAAAGAAACTTTAAATTTATTGCAAAACTACAATGGTTTTTACTGTATTTTTTCAAGTTTTTAAGCATTCAAATCTTCAACTGTATTTTTTTTTTATTACTGCATAAATATTTATAGAATCTACCTAAAATTTTTAATTTGATTTATTAATTCAAGTATTATAAATTGAGGTATTGAATATTTTATTCAGTAACTTTTAAAAATTGATAACTTACACTTTATTATTACAAATACTATAATTATAAACAAAAAAACCAAACAGATTTGTAGTACAACGACTTTATTTATTTATTGTTCTCAATATGAGTTTTATAATTTTTAATTTCATATTAAATATCAAAGACAAAAATAAATAAATAAATAATAATAAGTATTAAATTTTATACTTATTTATATATTTATATACATATTTCAAATTAATTTAATAGAATCATGTATGTATGCATATATAAATATATATATATATATATATATATATTATGCTTTAAAATATAACATATATTGTATTTGAAGCAATTATAATTTAAAATACATAAAAATACTAGAAAAAAATAATAAAGATTATATATATATATATATGGAGAAAAAAAAAGAGACTAATAAATTTATTAGTGAACATTCTTTATTCACATTGTCATTGATATATGTATTTATCAAATTTTTTAATTTCATTTTTTTATTTGATTTATTTATTTATATCAAACATATCATACTATCATATATATTATTATAAAAATGAAATATATAATAAATTAAAAAAAATACTCAAGAAATAATTAACTATTTAATCAAATTGATTATGTGCATGCTCTCCAATATATATATATATATATATATATATATATATCTAGGGAGTTATTAAAGCCACATCTCCTTCTTTTTGTCATCTCGTGATTGATTTTGTCCATCCATGTCTTTGTCCTTCATTTCTAATTTCTTAACTCTAATTCCTCTATTGTTTTATGTCCCTTATCTCATGTCTTCATTCTTGTTTCTCATTTCTTATGCCAATTGCTTGCTGCCTTTTTTAAACCCAGTACCTATGTTTATAGGAAGGATACATGGATACTTTTGATATATATTACTTGGATCAATGATGAATGGAGATTAGTTTCTTTGTAATGCAATCTTTTGAGGATGTCCCACAAAAGATTACTGAGTATTATATCGTGAATTGGCTATTAAGGAATATGAGTCTCCTTGCCAATTTTTGGTGGCAAGTGATTGAAAAATATGTTCATCTTATGCCAATGTGTGTAACCTTGTAACAAATCTCAAGAACTAGTAACCATTTTTGGTGAGTAGCAATGGCATTAGTATTATTAAGCTATTCTTTTTTTTTTAGAATATAAGGTGAAGAAAATTTTCTGCCAAGATTGTTCAAGTTTTACCTAGTCAAATACTATTGTGATTACTACCACACTTAATTCCTAACTTAGATAAAATTCTTTGATAAACTTAGAAGGGATGTAATATGCATTCATAGTATGAGTATCATAGACATATATATTTATTTAGATAAGAAATATTAGATAGAAGATAAATATAGGTAGATTTGATATTATCTTATGATAAAGCTACTTCGAAGCTTTATAAATACATATTTATTTAATACATGTTTATAATTAATTGATAGATTAGAAACTTAGCCAATAAATTAGCCATGTATCATACTTATAGATAGCTTATGATTCAAGCTAACAATGTGGTATGCATACATAAAACTTGCTTTATAAGTTAAAACACATGTCTTATAAATTGGACATATATTGAAGGTCCTACAGAATGTTGCTATGTAACTCTTAATTAATAGAATATATGGAGACAAAAATAAAGTCTTCTTCATTCTTGTTCATACTTTTTTAGTCCTTAGTCTTGTTTCAAGACTTTGTAGTCTTTATATCTTTGGCAATAGCCATTTTAATATAATATCATATTATTTTTGAATGATTTTTAAATCTTTTCAAGTAATATAAGAATATATTGATCCTTTAGTTCTCCAAGATTCATGTTGAAACAAGACCAAACTATTTCAAAAATCGAAGATCCTTCTATTCTATAATAACATAAAACTTCATCACAAAATGGAAAAAAATAGACTAGAATAGAATTGAATGGAACTAAATAGAATAGGATATAAAAGACAAATTGAGCAAACAGGAACAAAATAGAATAGAACTGAATAAAAAGATACAAAACCAAACTTTACTGAGAGAAAACATCTGAAGCCACACCTAATCAGATACTCGAAAAGGCCTTAGCTAGTCTTATTTATATCTTATCTTATTATCTTAGACTTTCTAGAATGTTCATATGTAATAGGTTCTACCTAAATAACTCCCTTAAGTTTCTTTTTTAGAAGGTTCTATAGTGGATCTCATGTAAATAACCACCTTAATTCCTTTTCTAGAGGGTTTTATGATAGGCCATATCTAAATAACTGCCTTAAGACTTTTTTAGAAGGTTCAATGGTGGACCCTATATAAATAACCATCCTAAATCCTTTCTAGAATGTTCCAAGGTAGATCTTACTTGGTCCTTTAACCTAACCTCAATTCTAGAAACTTCTATAGTTTTAATTATCTATATAATTATCTTAATTATATATTCTAATAGATAATCTCCATCTATTAATGTAAAATGTCCTCATTTTGCTTTAGATGGTATCTCCAAATTGCCTCTTGGCAATGGATGAGATTTTGTGCAAGTTTTCATATTGTATCGTGAATGGAATAACCTTTCCAAAGAACTTTGTACTGAAGTTGTGGACATCCAGTGCCACAACAAAAGTAACAATGCTCCAAAATGTTGTTTATTTCATATTTTTATTAGTCATCAACTACAACTGGTGGTAGTAATGATGGTTGGTATCAATTCAAAAAGTAGCAAGTTGGCATTGGATAGTAATACATGATCACTCTTTCAAAAGGTCTTGTATTATTGATCGTTATCTACATATTACTTCAGTCAATTTTATAGAGTAAAGAGGCGGTGCCATGCCTCTTGTAAGGCCATTGTAAGCCATTGTATAAATTCCTCAATTGTTAGGTTGTTGATATCAATGAGATGATAAAGAGTTATTGGCATGATTGGATGTTGATTGATATTCAAGAAAAATGATCAATAATTGGTACTTACTTGAATACTATCATTTTAAGCAAACTCCAAAGGCATCAAGTATTCATCCCAATCATTATCATGAACCATCACAAATACATGTAGCATATCTTCCAAGGTCAATTTACACACTCTATTTGTCCATATCTTTGAGGATGGAAAACTGTAGATATGGAAGTCATATACTTAGTAGTTTAAACAAGGCTTGTAAAAAACTTCCTGTGAAGCATGGATCTTGATCTGAAATGATGATGCAAAGTAATCTATAGTGACAAAAGATGG